ACTAGGAGTTGTTTCTGTTATTACTAGTATATAACTCATGCCATAGAACAATAACTGGATTCAAACTCCCACTCTTGGACAGTATATCGAGTCACACAGGTCTACAAATAGTTGTAAATACCTTATAGCATATAGCATTAGCACATCAGACCTCTTCCATCGAGTGTGTCGGTCTGCTGTCACTCTCTGACAGGTAGTTAAGGTGATAAAGTCCTGTTAACGAATACCTGCTCCCTGTAATTCGGTGAAACTCTTCTATTGTTTCCTCACTAACACCTTCAGGGAATTGTTTTTGTTTCCCTTTAAAGCCTTCATTTCCTCTCAGGCCTTTCTCACCACCATCAGCCCAGGTACTTAAGACTCTCCATCACAGCCCATTATCACAACAATTAACATTATTAACGCACCGAAGCCAAGAAAGCGTTCCTTTTCTGAATGAGCCTCGACTATGACATGTTTACTCAGTTTTATGGACGCTAGATGTCAACGAAACCCACATTCTGGCTTTGTTTTTAATCGTGATGGGTTGTTTTTAAATATACAATGTAATAACGCGTCTTTATTTCCTTTACTGACACCATAACATCTTACCGGACCACATGGTCAACTTCTCAAAAGCTTCTTCTTGGGTGCTGGAGTCCTCGGCCAGGACCAGGGAGGTGTGTGTGTACGGTAAAGGCGATCCCAGGCACGAGTTGTATTTAAGAACCTCACAAGTTGTCGTTTTCTTGCATTTGTCCTCAAACATTGTCCCGTTATGAGACAACATTGCCCCGCAGCCTGAGAGCCAGGCAGCCAGGACGCACAGCAGCCAGTAAAATCCAACAATGGGACTCCGACTGTGGGAAGACATCTTGGAAAACTATGGGGAACTTTTTGCGAGGATTAAAAAAGCGATCTTTTTGTGAATACTAATTCATTAAATCGTTTTCAAAAACGAGGGTTTCTTCATTGGACTGTGGATGAGTTTCCAAACGCGGCATGTTTGGAGATAAATCTGCGCTTCGAAGTTTCCTCTCAGCCAACTTTTTTATGCTGCGCTTTCCCTGCGATCCTTGCAGAATCCGCTCGGAACCCATTCATCATCCAAACTTCCCCCCAAAACAGGAATAACGGCTCAAAAGGAGCACTCAAAAAATTGAAAAAAGAGAAAGGATGGGTTCAAATAAAGATCTGGATATGTGTAAAGAAGACGACAAGGTCGAGGAAAAACTTGTGGATTCTCCCTCCCCCCACTCCCAAAAAACTTGCCATGAAAAAGTCTGGATCTCTGTAACCAGAGCTCCGCAGCTCACATGCGCCACCCACTTTCCTCCGACACAGCGCCCCTCTTTTTTATGATGGTGAAAAGTAAGATGATAAAATCTCCTGCGTCTGTCCTGCTGTCCAGAAGTCTGATTTGACTGCTCTAGAATGGTCAGTAACTGGTTTCTGCTGTGTCTGTTAAGTGTGTGTGCGTACGTGTGTGTATGTGTGTGTGTGTGTTCTCTGACTCTGGTATGCACATGGTCGGGCAGAGCCAAAGCAACAAAACCTCCCCTCCCATCCCCCTCTGCCAGGGGAAGAATGTGTGTAAAGACAGACCCTCACCCGTGAAAAAACGGCCTCATCTCCAGTAGGACCCACACACACACACACACACACACCGCTCCCTTCAAAACAACCAGAGACAGACCCCCATCTGAAACGTTCAGCCAAACATGAGGAGATGTTGCTGCTGCTGCTGGACAGTGAAGAGAAGCACGTCCACAGTCAGTCAACTCCAGTGTACTGAAGTAGATTTCAGGCAGTATTTTAAAATACACAGAAATACTGTGTATCTGTTTCTATCTTCATAATGTTACGAATATTGTTATTAATAATCTGTAGTAAATAAACAAGAGTTTTCTAAAAAAAAAAGAAATATAAAAGAATACTTTGTTTTGGCATACTCATACTACTGAGAATACTACAGATGTCATACTATATACATATATTGCAATAGAATACTCATTAATAGTAATATAAATACTAATACCTTTGCAAGGAAGTCTAACAAGGCATGTATCGGTAGCTTAGAAAACTATGGTTATAAAATATTTAATTAAAGGAGAAAAAACAATGACTTTGCAAATTGTGAAGTAAAGTCAACTATATTTGTTTGTTCAGAGGAAAAAATATTAAAAAAAAAAAAAGCAGAAGTCAAAGCGAAGGAATGTGCCAGAAACATCTGATAACAGTTCAGGCAAGATAGCAAAAATACATCAATTAAGAAAAAAAAAAAGTAATATGTTGATGGTTAAAAACACATGGATAACAGATAGCATAAGTAGCAATAGACTAGAGAGAAAATTCAAACAAGTTTGGACGTTTAAATTAAGCAAAGAAGAAACAACCTGTTCCAATCCTACAGCCAGTAAAGTAAAACATATCTTCAAAGTTTACTACTAGGATGTTTAATGTACCTCAGTGCTACGTGTGTACTGTACTGTATACATGTACAGTATGTGAGGGACAGAGGGAGGGACCAGTGTCCTCTGGGACTGTGTCCATGGACTCGGCCTTCGCCTGTCTGTTTAAGGCAGCTGCAGGAATCTGCACCAAAATGACAGCCATTAAAATCACAATACACAGTACTCATACTGTATACCATTATGTTTATGACAAAAACAAACACTTCAGAGAACCAGTCAGATCTGGTTCCTCTCAGGTCAAACCTCCGACGTGGCTCTGCTGTTGTCACTTGTGGCTGTAGAAGCTTTGATTCTCTGCCTGCAGTTACGCCGAAAAACGGGGTTGTTGTTCAACTCCCTCCTCTGACCTCCACTCTTCTGAGTGAGTCTGAGTCTGGGCCTCCTTAAAACCAAGCAGCAACATGGCCGCCTGAGTGAGTCAGAGGCAAAACCCCAGGACCACACACAGAGCAAAAGACCCGGGGCCAACACACACACACACACACACACACCACGAGAGGCTGCTCCTTAACTATAAACTGTGGTTTGCACTGTCACTTTTCCACTGCGCTTTGTTGTTTTTACTAAACTAAAACATGTAACACCTCCAAAAACAGCTGCTGATTCTGCTACAGGGGGCGACGGTGAGCTGTATGGGCTGATAGCAGATGATCCTCAATATAAACATGAAATGTCATGTTTAAATTATGGACTGTTTTACACACGGTGTGGACTTTCTGCTCCCAGATTACAGACATCAGGTTTCAATCAGGTTTTTTTTTTTTTTTTTGCTGGACAGAATGACTGGGGATGAAGGGAATGGGTGGAGATGAGAGGTCACAATGTTTTTTTTTTTGCTTCACCACAAACACTGGAGACTTTTAGCTGCAGTTTTTCTTTGTGGAAAAGAATGTTCTCAAGCCAAATGACACCAATTTCAACAAATTACAGCTCTGAGCGCGCTGATTCTCATTTCCAGAAAATTCTAAACACTTCCTGAGAAAGCGGTAGAATCTAACACTTCTAATTTAGGATTCTTATTTAGCCATCAAAACGACACACTCAATGCTGCTTGTTTAACTTGAATGTCAAAGGAGCATCCACCCAGGACTGTTGTGCTGAGGACAGGAATTAGCTCACCATTGTGTTGAACTTTGCTGAGAAAACCTTAAGCGCACAAAATTGCAATGGATAAAAACAGCTAACAATTCAGACGTGTTCGTTACCAATCAAGATTAATATATATACTGTATACATATAGTTTATATATGTATATACACATATACAAACTATATATGTATATACTGTACATTGGTACTGTATATATACAGTATATACATATATAGTTTGTATATGTGTATATACATATATAATCAGCTAAATATATCGCTCTCATGACAACACAGCTTGCTAGAACAGGGGTGTCAAACATATGGCCCGCTGACGGGTTCAATCTGGCCCGCTTGATGAATTTTGAAAGTTAAAAAAATGCCCAACCACATCTTGCCAAATTATACTTAATTAAATATTAGTATTTTTTTAATAAACTTCTACAGATTTGCATGAAAACAAAGAACAAACATGGACACCGATCTAACCAGGCTTTATGTGGACCCATGAACCAAAATGAGTTTGACAGCCCTGTCCTAGAATGAGTTTCGAGCAGCATGATACCAGGTTTTACAAACAATCTGTAAAGTGTAGCAACATAAAGGGTTAAAGTACTTAATGACCTGTGTACAGTCCAGGTATTTCTCCAGGTAAAATGGTTTAGTAGATAAAGAGAATCAGACAATAGAGATAATGTTTAAATTTGTTTTATACAATTGTAATAAGAAAAGTATTATAAGTGGTAAACTCGGCTCCATTGACAGTTTTTTGGATAGTGATGCAACTATACATTTGAAATAGATGTGCTTTTGACACAAGCTTTTGGGTTAGTCACTAAAACAACACACAGATTCTTTCCAAGAGAGATAAATGTCATCATAAAACCAGACCAAACACAGTCAGACTTTGACATTTGGTCTTGTTTAAGATGACGAGCGCAGAGGGTGAAATGACGTTTAGTGCCTAGTAAATCTTCAGACACTGTCTGTTCACTGGCCTGTGGTGCAGTGACTGCATCAACAAGCAATTCAGGCGTGCATACAAACACTTTTCAGTTGTGGAAAACCTGGGAGTTCCCATCACCTCTGTATTTTACTTTCATAAGCAAATACAAAAAAAACCCCCAAAACAGAACAATGTGCAAAAAACCACTTTCATAAGCAAATACAAAAAACCCCAAAACAGAACAATGTGCAAAAAAAAAAAAAAAGATTCCATACAAACCACAAGATATGAACATGATATCAACTGTGTGGTTTGGCCAATGCTAAGATTGTGAGATCAAAACTTCTGCAGCCCTGCAGCTGTGCGGTGTGCAGGCATTTCATCAGAGACTGCTGGTAATACTGTACTACACAAACATCTGTGAAAATATAGATGATAAAAACGATATATTTTTTTTGTTCCTCTTACATTTTCCCTGTGCTGTATTTAGAATAAAGACTTAATTTGTACAAAATACAATTATAAAACTCAAATAATAACCATATAATAGACATCACACCCTTATCTTTATATTCATAATTTTTTTAAAAAACTTTTAAAAAAAACTAGTCACCTGTTCACCCATCATTACAAACATCTACTCCAAATCTCGTTTATAAAGTGGTAAATGTAAATTCATCTTCCAATGAAATGTTTCCTAGCTGAAATTCTGACCTCTGTCCACTCGATGGCGACAGAGTGCTGGTTATTGAAATAGGAGCAACAATTGTATAAACGGTTCTACCCATCCTCCTCTAGTCACTTTTAACGTGTACATGACTGGTGTGTGGGGTGGCCTGGGTCAGCTCCACGGGTCTGATCGGTGTTTGAGGTTGTAGTTCTGGAGTTCGATCTGATCTTTGATCTGATTGATCAGAATCTGAGACAGGAGGATACCAACCAGCTGCGGAGAAGGAACAGAAGCTCTTATTAGGGAAGGAAAATAACGACAATGAGATGCTAGAGGATTTTTTGGGCTCGTCAACATTCACTCAAAATTCAAGACTAATTTCATGGAAAATGATCTGAAAAGAGAGAAAAACTGCGAAGTAGACACGTGATAGTTATTATATTATTTACGTATATATTAACCCTTGTGAAATATGGCAAAAATGAAACTAGTTTATCTGTATGTACAGGTAATTTCTTGCAACACCCTGTATGTATCTGTTATAAAATTAATTTTTAATTTATTTTTTTAGTATTTTTTTTCTTAGTCTAGAAAATACTTATTTTATCACAGAAATAAGGAAAATATTGGAAATTTAAATTTTTTATATACAGCAAAACCCCGCGATAGTGCGAAATACCCGCAATACAAGTATACATTTAAAATACTAAAAAAGGGCGTGACATCCGAACGGCGATACAGCGGGGGGCGACTGTACTTTTACTATTTATAATGTTATTGTTATATAGGTATTTTGATAGAATTCTAAGATAATAGTTGATGTTTCTACTGGTTATGGAATAAGTCACAATTTTCTATTCTATTCTATGCTGTCTATACTATTTCACATTTTATTTTTCTCATCTGCAATTGATTATCCATCCATCCATCCATCCATTTTCATCCGCTTATCCGTTACCGGGTCGCGGGGGCAGCAGTCGCCACCCAAATCACATTGCACCGTACCAAACCTTCCTGCGGGTGGTGAGTCCACTGGAAGGTACCAACCGCCCTAACCGGGATTCGAACTTGCCCAGGAGGTGAACCCTGGGGTTCCACACCAATGACAGAGACATTGCCTCTGGGCCAAAGCGCCACTTGCAATTGATTAATGAATTACAAACATTATGGACAGCTGCAGCTCCAGTTTGAACAGTCTCGATGCCACAGCACCACACAGTGGTCAGACTAAGACTCCAACGTTTCTAAGCTCTACTGGTACCTGTGGTATAGCCAGTCCCAGAGCAATCCCTCCCAGCAGGAACAAGTTGCTGTGAATCCAGTTGACCAGTTTGTCTATGCAGCCGTTGGTGTAGATCTGATCTCCAGCTATTACGTATTCCAAGTCCTGCGCTCCCTGTCCACACATGGTGTTGATCACCGTCTGCACACATGAACAGCTGCTGATTAAACGTACCATACGAAACAACAGAACACACGTAGAATACACATACAGTACATTATTATCTGTTTTTATTTTATTTTATGTAAAGTGTCCTTGAGTGACCTGAAAGGCGCTTTTTAAATAAAATTTATTATTATTATTACATGTACGTTATTAGAACACATGGTCCACCTTGTCTTTGGATATGATACAACAAGAGAAGGGAACAGAGCAGCGTTCTCTGCTCGGATTCTTCTCGGTACAGTTGAAGTACATGTTCCGGGACCAGTCGGTGTATGTCACACCCCCGCAGCAGCCAAACTGAAGAGACAAACAGATGTTAGAGAGAAAAAAAACCCATTTGTTCAGACCACAGTGACCCTGATATTTGACTAAACCAGACGTAGGCAAACTTTTGACTTGTGGGACACAATTATTATAAAATTGAACGGGGGGAGGAGGGGGGGTGAGTCAGGCGCAGATATATGGAGTGTTCGTGTGAACTAAGGTACATGACATGTAATAATCATGCATAAAGGCTGCAATGCTAAAATCATTTTCTATGTCATCTATAGGGGAAATGTGGGTATTGCAGGGAAAATGCAGAAGTATAATGATAATATAAATAAATTATATAATTTGGAAAAGTTTTGCGGACCGGATTAAAAAGCCGAATGGGCCGCATCCGGCCCCCGGGCTTTAGTTTGCCCATGCCTGAACTAAGCCATAGGTGCCCACACTTCTTTTTTTTATTTTATTAAATAACACAAGGAGCAGTACAAATCCAAACAAAAGACTCTTCTCCTGCCCTGCTGTTGGGTAATAACAGTGTTTAAAAAAGAAGTCATGGGCCACTTACTTAAACACGAGCCATGAAGAGCCCCCGGGGCGGGACTTGAACATACATGGACTGAACACTTACCTCCATTTGACCAAAATCAATCAGGTTTTGCAGGTCCATGTCATCTCTGTAGTGAACAATGGCGTTGTTGATCATCTCAGTCACTTTACTCCGGGCCTGACGTGAGTAGAAAAATACGTATAAAATAAGTATTGTAAAAAAAAAAACAAAGCAGTTTCATTATATAAACAGAGTTCTTCGGAAGAATTTCATTGTTTATGTTTTCATTACTGTGTCCGAGAAGATGAAGCCCAGGATTCCTGCCACGAGCTGGAGCAGGAAGATGATAGTGAGGAAGATACAGAACTGGGTGGGACGACATGGACACCACAGAGAGACACTATTAGACTTCATGTCTCCATATAAACAAAAAAAAGATCAACTAATAAAAATCTGCTGTTTCTCATTACCACCTCAGCTACTGGAGAAAAACATGAAAAAAAAACCAAAGCTCATCTGAAGTGTGTCTCTGTGCAGAGGCGTACGAAGGAACAGCTGACTTACGACCTGCAGCAGACAGATGTTTTCTCGCAGGGAGCCCACGCAGCCACAGAAGGTGATGATGAACATGAGGACCCCAACCACCATCAGCATCATAGCTGGGTCCACTGACAGACAGGCCAGGGCTGCCTCTAGACAGGAAGTGAGCCAGGAAATGAGGTTTTAATTTTCTTAGATGAAGAAAACCAACAGAGCCACATGACTGAATAATTATAATAGAATTAATAATAATAACTTTTATAGTTTTTACTATTATAGGGGACCCTGTCCCCTATTTTGGGAACCACTTTTGTAATTTTATTTCTTTTCCCATGTTACATTTACATGTTGCATTTACTTGCTTTTTACGGTTTTTCAAACATAAAAAGGTCAAACTCCAGGAGTATTAAAGATGACTTACCAGCATGTTTCATCATGCGAGCGTACACGCCGATGGACAACATGACAAAGGAGATTATCTGAGGAGGGCAAGGCATAGAAAAATATTTTTACACACACACTGTGTCCAAATCTTTTACCAATAAGGCAGAGTGAATGAAAAGCAGACACACTTCAAACATCAGAGACGGCAAAAAGGCTTCTCTATGTTCGTACTTGTCAAGGGAGTGGCTTTGAGGTTCACCACAAAGGAAGGAGAGACTGAGAGGAAGTGAAGGTTTGAGGAAGGCAGCACAGGTAGAGCGAAAGGTTGTTTCTTCAAATCACTCTCAGGTGTAAAAGAGGTGACCATAGAAATGAAGTGTAGAACAGAAGACTCTGGCAGCAGTCTGTGGTGTTTTTTGTTTTTAAATAAAGACGTTTTCACCGGGCACCTCTCTCTGCACGTCTCCACAGAAGAATAGAGGGCCCTCACAAATCCCCTTCCCAGCCTGAATTAAATGGATCCAATTACCACAGGCTCTCATGGTGGTGGGAGGACAGAGTTTTCCTGTCTACACTGTACTGTTTTATATTCTGCAGGTGTCGTCATGCTCAAACCCCCCTCCAAAAAAAAAAAAAAAAAAAATCATAAATGTCAAAATCACATGCTGGGTGAAATAATAATAATAAAAAATTAGAATACAGTCCGTAAAGTTAATAGGTGTCATTCACGGGCAGCGTAGCTCAGAAGCACAAACAAGCAGGAAGCGTAGGTGTAATACCGAGCTCAGAGTAGCCAGAGGCAACAGAAATGACAACAACACATTCCACAATGACGAGCTTCAAGTTTTTACACAGCCTGATCTTGTACGTGTCGACAGGCTAGGCACACTACGTCAAAACAGCAGACGGTTTTACAGTACACTAAAATATAACGTTAAACATCCGCCCATAAACCCCCCGGATCTTCACTGAACTTCATTTAAAACACTAATTCCTACAAAGTTGATATGGAAAAAATTCACAAATCTGCATTTGGCCCAGCTCATAAATTAAAGAATATTGATATTTACACAAATGTGTCCTTATGTGTCTCCCACGCAAGAGCTCCGTGCCCCGAGGGTCTGCACCCCCCATATTTGGAACCAGTGTTACAGACCAAGGTGTGAAAAGGTTTTTGATAATTAAAATCTGACTGAGCTACAAATTAGATCCTACAATGGCAACAAAAAAAAATTTAATCTTTATTTTTGTGATTCCTGGAAATCGATTTTAAAACGATTTGAAAGTAACATTTTGAAAATTTACATTTAACATTTTTTACAGAACAGAGCTGTAGCGTTACAGCTAAACAAAGCAGTGCAGCTCGGTGACATATTCAGCCTGACGATTACGTAGTTCATCGCAGCTTCATTACTAAGTAAAAATATACTTTTATTCCTCTTTTGAGAAGTTTTAACAGCATCACAGTCATAGCTGACAGACATGTGTAGATGTTTCAGCTCCCGCTGCAGGCTGGATCTTTCTATTAAATCTGTGAAAGGAAAGCAGCTTCGGTTACGGCCCCCGGGGAACCCATGCTGTAACTCATCAGCTGGGACTTTCTGCTTTGTTTACGGCCCACTCACTGAACTGGTTTATGCGTTCAGTCAACCTGGTTAAACACAGTCAACTGGGAAAAAATAAAATAAAATCCAGCTTCCTTTTTTGTGCTGCATTCACTGATTGCTCTGGTTTTTAGTTACCCTACGTGATAACCAGTGTGAAACCACTGTCACTGCCAACGATCATACAGCAAACACCTGGTGTGTGTGTGTCTACTGTTAACAGCTCTATCTCGGTTACATTGTCAACCAAGTCAAACAACAAGTGAAAGTGGATGTCGTTATGTGTGTTTGTTTGTGTGTGCGCACGTGTCTGGACTTTTGGCTTGTTTTTACACAAACATTGACTTTCTGGTCCATCAGTCGTTGGTTGGACCAAAGGTTTGTCCAAATGAGACAGAACCTCATTTCTGGGACTTAAAGTTAAATGTAATAGTTTGGTTAACTTGTACTTTTCAGTTGGTATTGACGAGAACACATATTAAAAAAAATTGTATCAGGAAATTCCTAGATTTGTTTTAAATAAAAGTTTGTTTAAGTTTTGTTATTCCTAAAATATTTAAGGTTAAAAGGAATTAATAATTGGAAAAGAACCATGTCACCGTGGGATTCGACAACTGTTTATTTGAGCCCTGGTATTAAAGTCAACTATTTGAAAGTTGTTTTTTTTTTATGGAAAACTGATCAGGGTTTTTTTTATTTTTTTTATGGAAAACTGATCAGGGTTCCAACAGACGTAGCTGTGCAGATCTGTGTTCGCTGCATCTGCCAGCAGCCCGAATCTGGATTTCACACTGTGGTGGAAGGAACATGAGTAGGAAACGCAGGAAGAATAAGTCACAGTAACACTATCTCATTGCTGACATTGCCTGAATAACTCAAGGATACACAGTTAATGGCCGAGTGTGTGAATTTCTTATTTGTGTTGCTGGTTAACCAAAATTAAACCTCAATGTTAAGCTGGAATGACTGGGGTTAGTGAGAAACACGAATGATTAACCTGCCCATAAGGAAAAGTAAATACATGTCAGCACGGTGAAGTCTCGGTCAAGTTTCTCTGAAAAGCACGTTTAAAAAATAAAATAAATAACAGCGCATACTCACCCAAAATAGGAAATTAAATATGAAGAGCAGATACTTGACAACGGGACTGACAAACGAGAAGTCCTCATCATATCCAGGTGTTTCTCTGCGCCGTCCTCCTCCCATGGCGACCACTCTCCCTGCGTCTCCACCAAGGTTTACGCACAAACACGAGATCTTTGTACGGAAACATTTTTCAAAAAGCAAAGGCAAACAGTGGGCGACATGATTAAGAAAGAAAAAACAAAACAAAACAAAACAACAACTATCAGTTACGGAGCGGCTTTTAAGGAAACTGCCTGCAGCAGTGTCTGGTACAGTCTGACTGACTGACTGCCTGCCTGACTGGCTGGGCGTGTGTTAAAGAAGGGTGTGTTTTACTGTTTTAACTTCTTTACCACTCTTTATAAGTTGTGATAATGCCATTATCAGTATCAGTTAGTATTTCGTTTTTCAACGAAAAATATACACATTTTAACATCTATCTAACATGAATGTTGTTACTTACCTTGGGAGGATTTTGCCCAATTCAAGACTAACTTCACTGTAACCTGTTTTGTTATTTATTTATTAGTCAAGACAGTTATTTCTGTCTGGTTTTGAGCAGGAATTATTTATCTACTGTATGGGCAACTTGGGGAAAAACTGTTTCTGCTATTAAATATTTTTTCATGGTTTAAAATATTCAACAATACAACCCACTTGGCTACATTCTAAGTACCTAAGTATAATACATGTAAAATTAAGTAAACAAAATATACAACTATATGATATTTGATACATTTCGTAGCTTAGAAATAATGCCGACAGGTTATATTGTTTTCATGACTTTTGAAAAACTTTTAATAAGGCTTTATTTGACCAATGGAGATTGTGTTTGATTTGCTGACGTTCACAGTAGATTCGTATATTTTCACTTCGAATGTATACGTGATTGCGCCATCTAGCGACACACATTGGTGTTTAGGTAAATGGAATTCTCTCGAACAAAGATTTTACGTGTGTGAATCAGACAAAAATTCTGTTTTAAATTGCGTTATTTTTAACCGATAAAACCCCTTTCGCCTATCTTTTAAATCACTGAAACGCTCTCCGATTTTTCACCTGTCTGCGACGTTTGACGTTTATTCTGAAGGAAGTCATTGTCGAGAAAAACCATAACATCCGCTGGAGCCGGAAGTGAAAAATCATATTTCCCGTTTAGGTTAAATGACTCCCGGAGTTGTCCTGTCTTGGTTGCTTTGACATTTTAACCCACCAGATGGCTTGGGAAAGCAAAGGTTGGTCCGTTTAATTATATATATTTTTAATTATTTCAACGATGTCATATACTGCATTTGGGATACAGTGAGACCTCGGTCTTTTGCTTTGAACACGTAAATATGTATATATACATTTTTCACTTTCTGGTGCAGGTTGCACTCTTCCCCCGTCCTCCTTACCTCTCCTGGTTCCTCCTGTGAGGCTCATGTCAGCATTTCTGTGGCAGATCGTGCATCAGCACAATGTTTTGCAGTATGACAAGCTGGTAGACTTCATCAGTCTGGTGACCGAGGTCGTTCCAGAGATCCTGAGTCCTGGACAGAGAGCTCAGCTGATACTTGGTCTGAGAGGAAGGGTGAGGAACTAATCTGACCTCCGTGTCACTTCTACGATATGGGTGTGACAAAAATTGTTGCAGGTATTCATTAAGTTAGAAAATGAAGTGCAAACTATAAAAATGCAAATGCATGTTAATATGCGGAATATAGACAGCTGAATCGTGATTTCTAAAGTAAGTAGTATGTTAATATGCGGAATATAGATAGCTGAATCGTGATTTCTAAAGTAAGTAATTTAGCTTTTAGCTTTAGTACACATTAACTACTGCCACAAAGGTTATAGGGACATTCAATTACAATTAACCAAAAGCCATTTATCATTGTTGTGAAAATGCAATAATAATAATAATATTAATAAAACATATACATTTCAGAGGCTACAACGAGTAGGGTTTCCTCCTATATAAAATCTCCCTTAAACTCATTATAAAATAATAGCAGTGCAATAATTCATTGATGTTTAATTGTTTTCATTGTTTAAATTACCAGTCTCCTCTTTTTTTGCAGTTAGTCCTGGAGCTGTGTCGCGGTGATGGTGTTGGCAACTTACAGAGTATCCAGAGCCACCTGGATAAAATCCACAACTGCAGTTCTGAACTGAGCTCCAATGCCCAGGTAGTGGAATATTTTAAGAAACCCACTGATTTTTTTAAATAAAATATTGTCCCACAGAGTTGGATTTACAACTGATTTGTGTTAAAAATAAAAATCAATTCAGTCTGAATTACATTTTTTTCTCTTTAAATTCTTGATAGAGCATGAGTGATGTTCTGAAGACTTCATACACTAATTTTGCCAGCCTGGTCCAAACCCTTCTGTATGTTCCTTTTGAAAAGGACTACTTCTTTCAGGTGAGTTTTTAAACATTAGGGAAGTACTAATTTAATCGTATTATTACCATCAAAATCTTCACCCTTAGCAACAAGTTAGTGGGGAGAAGAAGATTCACTGTGTTTTACTTCCAATAATATATTCTTTTTTTTGGTCTGTAGGAGGTTTTTCCTGTAAATTATGGCTCTGACTACGACCAACGACTGGAGCAGATGGTGTCTGTGTTTCTGACCAGGCTGGAGCAGCTGCTGCCGATACCTGACCTGTCACAGGTGCTTTATGGCACACACCTGCAATCTGTTGAAGATACTAAAACAAAAACAACAATTTGGAGAAGACATACATATTCAGATTTTTAACGAGAATTTAAACAGATCATTTTCTCCAAAAGTCCAACACAAACACATTATGTTTAAAATCATCACAGTTGTTTTTTTTTTTTTTACCTTCCTCTATGTCGGTTTTATGTCCTCTTTTTTATGTCGTCTCAGACGTCCGCCTGGCTCACAGAAATGACGTCCGTGGCAGAGGATTTGGGACAAAACTTGTCTGAACCTTTTGCTCTGAAGTCTCTGCTCCTTCACCACAGACAGCTGGGCACGATTGGCACAGGTGGGTTCAACAGACGGCTCCACGCCGGGAGTGTTCAGACAGAAGGATGTAATTACATCTGGTTTTCTTTTTCACAGAAAATGTGCTTTGCAAATAAAAAAAAGGTGCAAAAATTGTAGATTTTCAAAACAAAA